CATCCTTCAGGCTTGGGACTGGCTCTGTCCTGGTGCAAAGACAGACTCTGACTCCCGGGAAGGTGGAGCGCTGAACTCTAATTCTGACTCTTAATGTGAACCCAGTATGCACCTGCACCATCAGTGTGCCTGTTTTCTACAAATCCTGGCCTAGACTGACATTTTACACAGGGGCATGGCCTCACCCTGTCACATCATATACAGACATATTTTAACATACATGGTCAACATATGCATATATACTATAAGTTGTATGCATTGTGGATGCATAGTAAATTCTGCGAATTAGCTTTTTTGCACTGGACTGATGCACAATTGTATTTCAACCCTACTGAGTCAAAGTATTGACTAGGCATTTTACAATTTTTTTTGTGTTGTTTTAATAATAACTGAGTAAATCTGGTCAGGAGGGACAGACAGTTTGATGTTAAAAAGTAAAGCCTAATACAAACTATGAGAAAATCGGACAACCGTTCGTTCCACAAAAGTGAGTAGCATGATATAGTCGGAATGGTATTGACTTGTACGAAAATTCTCAGCTGACAAAGGCAAATGTTAGGCAAACGTAGCTACGTACTAGCATTAGAATAGAAAGTGTAAGGTTGTTCTATGCTTCTGATCATGCTCATTTTTTTCTATTCGATTATTTTTGTATGATTACTGTACACATTAACTGCTTGACCGCCGCCCTATAGTAAAAGTACTGCTACAGGGCAGCAGGACTGTGCAAAATCATGTATAAAAAGTGATTTGCATTTCCGGGTAAGGGGCGTGTGGATGCCGCTCTACCCGTGTCGCCATTGGCGGTTACGGATGTCAATCATCGGGTCCCGGCCAGAGATTCTCCACCGGCACCTGACAATCGCCATGTAAAACTGACAGGGAAGAGACCTGTGTGTAAACAACACAGGTCTCTCTCCTGCCAGCAAGCACATGCTGCTGTGCATTTCTCTGATTTCCCTTTGATCGTCCCAGATGTTAAACTCTTCCTGTCCAGTGTCATTAGTACAGTGTCAGTGCTTTTTATTAGCACTGATAACTGTATTAGTGTCATTGGGATGTTAGTGGCAGTTAGTCAGTTCCCACCCAGTGTCAGAATGCCCGTTGCAGTCCCACTATAAGTTGCTGATTGCCGCCATTACTAGTATATAGACATGTAGCAGAATACATTTTGGCCTAAATTTATGAAGAAATTTGATTTTTCAACAGATCACAGACACATCAACAGTGCACAATAAGGCTCCATGTACACGGGAAGTTTGGAAAACACTTCTGAACGATGGAAACTGACTGCTGGAAAACATAGGTTAAAGCAAGTCTGTTTAGCCGTGTTTGCATACCGCGTTTATGCGTGTTTGCGTTTAGAAGTGTTGTATAAAAGATAACATCAGGAGACCTTCCAAAACGCCCAGAATGCACTGAAAAACAGTAAAAAATTTAAGTATTTCAGACATTTTGAGAGAAATAGAGAGAGCAGAAGCAGAGAGAGCAGTATGTGTTGAGATTACCTGTCTTTTCTGGTTGTATTCACTATGGATCCCATCATGAGCATAATGCAAAATCTGGAACTGACTGCACTGGTGTGTTAGGTCCATTTGAATACATGAGAAACGCTTTGCATGCATTTCTGATTATGAAAAAAGGCTGTGGACAGCATTTGGATATGGAACAGTTAAAAAATGCTTCTAAAGACAAACGCATATAAACGCGGTTAGCCGCGTTTACAAGCGTTTGGCATTTGAAACGCTGATAAAATCTACTCCTGAACGCAAGTTTGGTGCGTTTAAAAAAATGACTGTAAACTTAACTTCCTGTAAACTACTGTAAATGACATAATGTTTTCCTATGTGTCCATGTACACTAAGGAGAGTTCAGGGGCTGCTGAAAAAAAAAAAAAAAAAAAAAAACGCAGAAAAACTCCTGAACGTGAGTTTATCAGCTGCAGTGTACATGAGCCCTAAGGGCCTCATGATGTTATCTTTAAAAAACGCTTCTAAACGCAAACGCGCATAAACGCGGTAAAACAGACTTTTTTTAACCTACGTTTTCCAGCAGTTCGTTTCCATCGTTCAGAAGTGTTTTCCAAACCTCCCGTGTACATGGATCCTAAGTTGTTTAGAGACGTAAAGCAAATATACACTGTATTTTAGTTAGTTGATTTTTTTTTTTACAAATTGCTAATTAAATACTTTAAATGCAGCACTTAAATCTGAAGAGAGCTTTAAGTTGATTCTGATTAAGTGTATTCTATGTACAAGACATAAACTTTACTATTAGGTTTTCTTTACTAAATTTTAGGTTTTTTTTTATACTAAATATACATAGGTGAGGATACACACAAGTTATTGAAAAATATGAAAAGAAGTTAAAAATATGCTAGGTATCCACTACACTGTATATGTGTGGTCCAGTAACCAGATAACCAGTAACACCAATATCCATCACCTCACCCCAGACAACGTTGTCTGTTACACCTTTAAGATATGCATGACGTCATGGTATGGCCTTTTGTATATATAAGAATTTAGCGTGGCAGCGACAACCACCGGTCATCTGTCGGGCTATTTCTTATCACCCTCTGGGCTAGCACCAATGAGATATTCTAGCATGGACTATTGTGGCTGTGTTGATCCAATGATTCCTGGATGGAGATTAATGTGACATAAAGTCCAAGTAGTACTACTGAGGAACTAGTGTAAAAACAATCCTGATTCGGATAAGTTATATTCTGACCCACAACAAAATAGTTTCATACACTTAATGTGTAATGGTTTTCCGCATGGTCCTTTCATGTAACCACTTTGGAGAACATCTTGTTCACGTCTTTTCTTTAGTTGGAACGATACAAGCCATGCATCGAGGTACCAGGAAACCTAAAAGTCATCCAGGTCTGGATAGATGAAATTGTCTTTGTAAAGAAGATAAGCCAAGATTTGTCCTCCAAAAATCATTGACATCAGTCCCAGTCCTAAGTAGGAAAAAAAAATAAAAAGCAATGCTTTAAGAGCCAAGCATTAGAAGAACTGGTTAATTATGACAGTAAAGTATTACTAATGTCACAATATTGTCTTACTTTGCATGAATTAAACTAATTAATACTGTTAAGTGGTATTAGTTTATCCCCTTTTAAAAAAATCTGTGAACACTTGCTTAAAGGGAACATTAGCAGGGTTCTGCACCATAGATGGATTTGTTACACTTTTTATAGGGCTGTCAAGGTGTTTAGCCTACATAAATAAATTACTGACATGTTACAACATGTTTGAGAAAGCTGTGCCTTTTATCATTACACAGCAGTCCAGTCAAGCCAGTGATTCGGATATGCCCCCCTTTTGGAAGCAGTTAAACTTTCATTGCACCCCACCCATTCTCATTTTTTTGGGATCTGATATGTATACATGTGCTAATACAGGGCTTGAAAAAGCTGCTCGCCCAATGTGAGGAGAAATTCCTCTGTGGCGAGCAGCGAGCACAGATGAAGCATGGAGTGACTGCACCTGCGCTCCAAGCCTCATTGTGAAGCTGAGCTCTGGTTTACAACTTCCGGTTTCCGGCTTCTGCGGCACTGCCACCAAGGGGACAGGTACAGGAGAGGTCCGCTTTCCTCCGCTGATAGGAGTCACCCTCTCCACCACCACAGGGGACTCGGAGGGACTAGGAGTAAGTACTGTATACATGTCATATCACTATATTGGAGTACAGGGGAGCTGGGATATACATTACTGTGTACAGTTTTATATTTTGGACTCTTTATTCTAAAGAAAAATTTAATTTCATAAGCTTTAAGGGGGCGTGGTTGGGGGACGGTCTGGGGTGGGGTTGGATGCGGACCTGGGCAAGGTTGGGTGGTGCAACTGATGGAGAGTAAGGTTTGTGCCTGGCTAGTAGGTCTAGACTTGAAATTTTGAGCCCTGTGCTAATACATCCAAAAACTGCACAAGCAGCAGGACTGGTTTTCACCAGATGCAGTCCAGTGTCTTTTTTTCTGCATCAGTGTTTTCCATGTATTCCAATGGCCCTAGTTCACACCAGTTCAGTCAGTTCCAGTGCAGAAAAAAAAGTAGAAATGCTGCATACAGTAAATCACATGAAAAACACACTGGAATGGAGTGTGGTGTGAACTGTAAGCAAAACACATCCAGATGCATCTTGAATGTGTTTTTTTGGTGTCAACTGGCACTAAATGAATATTTCATCAATGGTTCAGGAACTCTAGGAGTGCATGTAGCCACTGTCTCCCAAATTCTCACAGGGGAGTAGAGAAAAAGAATCCACCTGGGAGGATTTGGGAGACAGTGGCTACATTTATGCTTTTTGGTTTTACTAAGCGGCAGTTCTTCCAAGTTTGCTTCAATGCCGGGCTATAGAAGTGTTATTCATATACTTGTGACTGTAACTTCTAATGGATATATAAGGCGATGTAATTATAATTATGAGGCATCAACAGCAGGGCTCTTACTTTACTTTCCATTCATCGTGCATCAGCATCAGAGGTTGGTCATCAGCTCTGAGGAAAGGGATTCGTCCCCGAAACGCGTCAGTTTTGACCGCACTGACAGTGAGAACACCTTGCCCACCGTTGTGGCCATTGTCATTTTTCTATGCTTTTTAGATACATGCTTCGTCTGTGAGTATGTTTTTATGATTTAATTCCTACAATAAACCTTGGATAATGCACTAGGTGTGTGCGCGCCACCTGTTTTCTCTCTATCCAGTGGCTGATTTCCCCGTCTGAGGAGGGCTGCACCCCTGGAACATTTCCTTTTGGTTGTCGCTGTCCTGGTACCCATGGCTTCCCTTTTGGCTGTGCATATCCTGAGGCGCTGGAGAGTACATGCGCTAATTATAATTAGATATCTATCATAGGCATCATGCTCTATTTAGGCACTTCTGAAGAAGAGATTGACTGTTGTCTCAAAATGCGTCAAGTGCCTGATCTTGATAAGTGCCCGATCATGATTTGAATTTCATCTTCCTCACCTGTGCATTTATTGTAACAGATATGTAATGTACAACCACCATATTGTGTACATCTATGCAGGGGCGGACTATCAACTCATGAGGCCCCCGGGCAATAGGGGATCATGGGGCCCCTGTGTCCTTGCCCAAACTCAAAAAAGCCTATGAAAAAGGTACCAGGGGCATCTCATGGGGTCCTCTACTGACCCTGGGCCCTCGGGCAGTGCCCGAGTTTCCAAATGGTCAGTCCGTCCCTGCATCTATGTGAATTTTAACATTTTCTGTAAAATAAAATATGGTTCTATAAAAGTTTCTACACATTTAACGGTTCTATTTGTGCTGTTAAAAATCCCACAAAAAGAGGGTTTTCCCATATATGGTTCATAAGGGATGATGGCACTTTACCAAACCCGTTGTTTTTCTATTTGTCATATTTTACTGTGGTGTCTATAACCACTGGAGAGAGTTTTCCTAATTTATGTGTAGTCACAGAGACAGCGAGTGAACAAAATCTATCCAGGGGTGACACATGCAGTATTAAAACATTTTGTTTAAAGTAGGGTGGGGCAGGACAGTGGCTAAATGGTTAGCTCTTCCACCTGGCAGAACTCAGCTAATTGGTTTGAATCCCAAACACGGCACCACCTGCCTGGAGTTTGCATGTTCTTCCTATGCCTGTGTGGGTTTTCCTCTGGGTACTCGGGTTTCCTCCCACACTCCAAAGACATGCTGGTAGGTTAATTGGATCCTGTCTACATTGACCCTAGTATGTGTATGTATGAATGTAAGTTAGGGACCTTAGATTTAATGCCCCTTGAGGGCAGGGACTGATGTAAATGTATATTATATACAGTATAGCACTGCATAAATTGACTGCACTATAGAAATACCTGTAATAATAAATAAAATAAAGCTGAGCACCTATGTTTGGTATTTATTGTTGTCTGTGTCCCTACGAGGGAAATGTCCTAACTCCTGGTTTGGCCATCAATAAATCAAATTGAGGACAAATATGCTGAGCAGAAGCACACACTGCAAAAGACTGACATTGGAATCATCCCCTTCCCAACTAAATAGACAAAAGATATGTTTTAACTGGGTTATTAATTTTCAGTTGCTTCATTGGTTACCTGAAACATGAAAAGTAAGGGACAAAGAGAAAATTACCTAGAGAGATCCACCAATGTGTCACGCTAGGAAGCTGCTTCATAACTGCAGAACAAACACATATGAATAATTTTTTATTATTATTTATTTTTAGTTAGAGTTGCTTACTGCTTACTAACATGATTTAAAATTAAAATAATTCTTGCACAATGTTTGGTGTAAGGTGGGAATTTCAATTTTAAATTGACTTAGACTCATGGGCTTTTACTTTATTAACTAAATAATGAAATGTTTTCAGCAGATAGTAATATTAAAGAAATGACAGAATTTCTTAATATTATCTGAACGCATCAAAATGTGGATGACATATTATGTTCAAAAAAGGTCAACTAAGTCAACCAAATAACATAAATTACTTTGTATATTGAAAATGCAAAGGTTTAGTAAATAATCGCACACATTGGATTAAGATTTAGAAAAAAGTACTGTGTACTGCTGTTTAAAGCTTAACTCCAGGTTTCTCATGACCTTAAATAGTTTATTTGGACAAAGCTGATCCAAATGAACTATTTGCTTCACTAAGAGATGTGCATGCTGTCAGCTTTGTATAAACTGTATATACCATCAGCGATGTGTTTCTGCAGTCAGTGGTGTATTTAGGTTTTGTGCTGCCCTAGGCAACACAAAAATCGCTCCCCCACATGGAGAGACCCTGACACTGAAAAACACCCCCTTCCCCCACGAAGAGAGCCTGACATTGACTAACAACACACCAGCTCCCCCCCACCACCTGAGAGAGCCTTCCACTACCACCTCCCCCCATACACTGGCAAACCACCCCGACCCCTGCGAGAGAGAAGACACTCACCTTCACAGCTCTGGACATCCCTGGGAACAAGAGTCATGCTCTGCATACACCATCAAGCAGCCCACAGCCTCTCTCAGATCCCACCTGGTCCCCATGCTGCGTGTATCCCTTCTTCTATCCCTTCTTTCGGGGGGGGGGGGGCACGCTGACCCCCTAAAAAATGCTGCTGCCCACCTGAAAGATGTCGCCCTAGGCTAATGCCTTGTTTGCCTTGTGGTAAATACTCCCCTGTCTGCAGCGGTATGGGGACTTTCGCCCCCCCGGAAAAAAATGGAGTCAGTCTGAGTGCTGTTCAGCCATTCACAGAAAGCCTTATGTTTTATCAATGAATACAGGGCTTTCTCTGACTAGTTAAGGTGGAGAGACGGGTGCTTTATATCATGATCTCCTCTTCAGCCAATCAGGAGAAGTCATGTATTCATTGATGAAATTCAATGCTTCCTGTGAATGGCTGAGCAGCACTCAGCTCGACTCGATTTTGTTCCAGAAATGAGATGAGAAGTCCCCATCTTGCTGTCAGAACACATCGCTGTATACTGTATGTAGCTGATGCTACATATAGTTTATACAGCGCCCCCAACAGGCACATCTGTTAGTGAAGCAACTAGTTTATTTGGACCAGCTTGGCCCAAATGAACAATGTAAAGTTACAAGAAACCTGGAGTTAGGCTTTGATGCATTAAAACATATAGTATGATAGACCACCAATGGTATCACAGATGTTCCCGCAGTGTGCTAGTGTGCCACATCAGCAGCATCTCACCCCTTCAAAGAAGTCAGTAGATGAAACGCGTTAGAGTCAGACCACACGGCAACTGGAAGTGACCTCACATTCCCCACCTGAAGTGATGCACCACTCAGGGACAGGAAGGGGACCGAGTGAGAGGCCGCTGATGTGGAACACTGGCACAATGCTGGGACATTTGATACCATTGATGGCCTATCATTCTATATGTGTTTGTGACTAGTATATTATTGAAGATGGAATACATTTTTTTTTTTAGCGGAATTACACTACCAGCCTGCTGTTAGGAGACCATACAGGAGGAGTTGGAACACAATGAAGATTGTGGTAATGCAAGCGCTATTGCTTATCATTTATCAGATAAGCAACTTCATCTGGCGGGGATCAGTGAATCTGGGGAAGGTGTTCTCTTAGCACAAGGTGTTTAAAAGGAGAGTCTGCATGTATATAACACTGAATTAAAAGTGTTGTGGAATCACTTGGTGACCGCATTGGTGATATGGACTTTTGAGACACTACTCTATGGACTCACTTACCACTCTGTATATTATTTGTATTCACTTTGTATGTATTAATGGGGAGCACAGTGATTTTGGAATTTTTTTATATTGTTTATCACTAAGAGTTTTAGTAGTATTTACTAGCGCTGCCATAGAGCTTGTTTGTGGTTTAAATATACATTTTAAAGCTGAACTACAGACAAATAAAGAAATACAAAGTTGAAATATGTATGTTAACTGTTTTACCTGCCAAAGGATTTGTAATTTTGTCCCTTGATTTACAGGTCCCTCAGACAGTATAGCTAGGCTGGTGACCTGACTTTTCTCTTCCTTGGTTAAGAAAAAAAGCAAGGTCACCTCACCCGGTCACCCCCCAGCCTGTGACTTGACAGTGACTGAGCAGCAGCAGACTATACCTCTGTCACTCTGCTCTCTCCTCCTGTAAACATGTTCATGTTGTTTTATGAGGCTTAGATCAGTGTAACAACAACCAAATGCAAGTACTAATACCTTCAGCTACATTTCAAGCTGCAATTAATTATTTTTAGTTAATACATAACTGCATTATTTGGTGTTGTTTATATTTGGCTAGAGTTCAGGTAAAGCTCTAAAAGATACACGTGGAAATGGGCCTTCTTTCATGGGGTTGTGTGCATCTGTGTTTGTGTTGAAAGCTCAAATGCATGCCCCAGAATTGAGACCGAGCTGTCACTGTCCTTGTACTAATGATCATTAGCTGGGAAGACCAGCTCCTGATTGTGTGATCACTGATAGCCAATCTCAGGGATCACCTTTAGGCACCTCCCCTACATATCTCTTCTGTGTGAAGAAGGAAAAATGACATTTTCCTCCTCTTTAGAGAAGCCTATGAAAACCAAAGTCTGTAAAAAAATACAAAAGAATAAAATAACTAGATCAGGCTTGATTTAGGTTAGTTTTAGTGTCTATGTTAGCTTTATGATCAGTTTTAGCTTTAGTGTCAGTATTAGTGTCAGTTGTGTCAGTGTCAGTAGGACTTAAAAAAGGGGGAAAGCAAAATATACACTATGGTTTCTGTGCCCTACATGAGTGCAAACAACAAATAATTCACACATATTGGTGTCACTATAAATGCCAGGAGTAGGAGAAATTATTTTGGTTTGTTCTTCTATGGTGAGTCATGGTAATGGCAGGAAATATACATCTAAAGTTAAAATAATAGAAATTTTTCTTTTAATAAAAAAAACAATAGATATCTGTCTACATTTACCACCAAATGAAGGTCTAATTTATCATGAAACAAACACGGTATAATTCAAATAATTGTGAAGATACACTATATTGCCTAAAGTATTTGGGACACCCCTCCAGATCATTGGATTCAAGTGTTCTAATCACCTCCATGGCTACAGGTGTATAAAATCAAGCACCTAGACATGCAGACAGCTTCTACAAACATTTGTGAAAGACTGGGTTGCTCTCAGGAGATCAGTAAATTCAAGCGTGTTACCATGATAGGTTACCACTTGTGCAATAAATCCACGTAAAAGACAATTGGCCACGTAAAATGACAGAGCGGGGTCAATGTATGCTGAAGCGCACAGTGAGCAGAAGTCACCAACTGTCTGCAGAGTCAATAGCTAAACACCTCCAAACTTCGTGTGGCCTTCAGATTAGCACAAGATTAGAGAGCTTCATAGAATGGGGTTCCATGGCCGAGTAGCTGCATCCAAGCCTTACTTTACCAAGTGTAATACAAAGCATTGGATGCAATGGTATAAAGCACACCACCACTGGACTCTAGAGCAGTGGAGATGTGTTCTCTAGAGTGACCAATCACGCTTCTCTGTCTGGCAATCTGATAGACGTGTCTGGGTTTGGCAGCTGCCAGGAAAACGGCACTTGCCTGACTGCATTATGCCAAGTGTAAAGTTTGGTGGAGGAGGGATTATGGTGTGGGGTTGTTTTTCAGGGGTTGGGTTTGGCCCCTTAGTTCCAGTAGAGGGAACTCTTAAGGTGTCAGCATATGACCCTTCTTGTTCCAATATGAAAACAATATAGTGTAGA